TGCTGAAATAAGCGGGACACAAAGATAGAAGGAGTTGAGTCCTTGGTGGCATCATTGAACTCCTGTTCCAAAACTTGAACTATCTTCAAACAAATTCCTGTTATGTGAAAATATTAAATGCTTTCATTGCTAGAGCCTCTGAAAGACAGAAGTTCTACTATCCGAAGCCAAACACGTTCTAACTGATACAAGGTTTCCTTACAAGAAACAGCACACAGATGATTTAAAAATCCAATTTATCTATCTTTTTCAAATGTATTTTAAAATTTACACACAGTAAAATTTATTCTATGGGTTTTTACAATTGCATACAGTTGTGTAACCATCACCATAATCAGAATATAGAACAATCCCATCACCCAAAACAGCCCATGATGCTGTCCCTTTGGTAGTCAAATCCTCCCCACACTCCTAATCCCTGGCATCCTTGCGGTTTTGCTTATCCCAGAATATCATATAAATGGAATCATCACAGTATGTATGCTTTTGACCATGGGTTCTTTCACATAACATAACGCACTTGAGATTAGGAGCCTGGGGCTTAAAACCATAAGGCTCTAGTTTATCAATGGGTAATAGCTGTCAGGTGAGGTTTCACTGGGGGTAGGAAAAGCAGGCAGTCTCTAAATGGCTAAAAATCTGCTCGTTTGGGCTATTTTAAAAATAATTGGGGTCCAGCCCCATGGCTGGCAGCTAAGTTCACATGTTCTGCTTTGGTGGCCCAGGGTTTGCCAGTTTGGATCCTGGACGCAGACATACCCACCGCTCACTCATCAAGCCATGCTGGGGCAGCATTCCACAAAGAAGAGCTACAATTCTACAACTATGATATACAACTATGTACTGGGGCTTGGGGAGAAAAAAGAAAAAAAAAGAGGAAGATTGGCAACACATGTTAGCGCAGGGCCAATCTTCCTCAAAAACAAAATAATTGGATGTGTAAAAATTTGAATTAGGCACCAGTGGGCTTTTGAAGTAATGGGTCTCAGCCTGCATTGAAGAAATCAACAACCTAGAAGCCAATACACAGAGGCCATCTTTGGCTCGTCTGTCTAACAGTCCATCCCCCTGCTCTGGGCTGTTTTATAATCTACACTGTATGTTATTTTATAATGCCTGTGTGTTTGGAGCCAATGATAAAGCATCTTTAGGATTGGCACACACTGGAATTTCAAATCCCTTTTTCAGCCAGTCTGCCCATTTAGTAGGGGAGAGCTAGGAGAACAGATCTGAAAAGGAGAAGATTCTGATTTGTTTTATCTGTTTAGTTAGCAGAGAGATATTATGGCGCCTTTGGTGTGTGTCCCTCACTCTCTGTAAAACTTGGTGAGTGTTCTTTACCCTCGGGCAGCAGAGTGTGTTAATGAGTGCATAGACCCCCTCCTTTAGTGGCCAATAAGTCATGTAGGGCTAGGGTGACACACCAGTGGATGTGTAGTTGCACTGGGGAGGGTAGGAACTTCTCAGGGAAGGAAGAGGCACAGCAACAGAGTAGGGGTTAAAGTTGGAGGTCATCTGCAGGGGATCTGTTTGTCTCCTGGGAATCATCCAAACGGTGCTGCCCGGTTCAGGGGCTATTCTATGTCCTGAGTGTCAGCAGCAGGTCCAGGTTTGTTCCGCAGTGCTTTTAGTGGAGCCAAGTACATGGGTGGTAGATGAAGATGCCTCTCTCTTCTGTGAAATTTTTTTTTTGTGAGGAAGATCAGCCCTGAGCTAACATCCGTGCCAATCCTCCTCTTTTTGCTGAGGAAGACTGGCCCTGGGCTAACATCTGTGCCCATCTTCCTCTACTTTATATGGGACGCCACCGCAGCACGGCCTGAGAAGCGGTGACTCGGTGCTCGCCTGGGATCCAAACCCGGGCCACCAGCAGCGGAGCGCGCACTTGACCACTACACCACGGGGCCGGCCCCTCTTCTGTGAAATTTTTGCTAAATAGAAAGTGTTAGTCAAATCTATAACTTTATAATTTACTCATGTTATTTTCAATGTCATCCATTAAAGTGATGGTATCTGGTAAGGGTGCTCTAATAAAGAGAATAGCCTTGCTTAATTCTCTAAGGTCTGTCCATAGTTAGCCCCCACTCATTAGTAGTGGCTTGAAGCACATGCCATACCAGGCTAAGATGGTAGGAATGAGTAGCCCTTCTTTAACTAAGTCAGCTTGGATAGGCCATTATCTTTCAGTGTCTTACTAGTAGGTGAAAGTTAGTTAGTTCCCACTGGATGGCGCCCAATAGAGCTTCCTGTGACTGAGGCAGAAACAAAACCTGGATTGTGATGGCCTGGTTTAGCAACCACTTGTCAGAAGTGGTTCCTTCTGACAAGGCTGACAAGGCTGCTATAGCCTTGTAGGAATGTCCGCAAAAACGAGGGGCTAAAATAACACTAGGTTTATAATTTTTGTGGTTTCTCTAATTCTTTTCATCCCACATCCAAATTATAGTAGTCTCTGTATTAAACCTTCCTCAAATTACCTTAATTTGTGTGCGACATTTGTATCCTTCTGGGACCTTGATTGACGTAAACTCCAACTCCAAGGAGAGTATTGTTATGTTTAGGAATTCTCTGGAGAGAATGGTTTCTCTGTTATTTCACCTATACCTGAGGCTCTGTATTTCACCCGTACCTGAGGCAGTTATCCCCAACATCTCCAATGGGTAGATTTTCCTTCAGTTTACCTACCAGGGCTATTACTGTTCTGAGGGTCCTGGATCTTGTAGATCTCTCTGACCTGACCTCCAATTTGGCAGAGGCTCTGTATTCCATCATATAGTCCCTTAAAATTCTATGAATAAGACATAGAGCATTTTTTGACTTTCTGGATTTACATTTTTTTTCATTCCCCAACTTAGAAGCTTTCTTTTCTATTCCAACCACCCTAACCACGGATTTTAAAGTATTATCTTGCATTTACAATTCTGAACAATGTTTAGGTGCTGTGTGTAGAAAGTTTTCTCTGCACATCTTGACCACCTATTTCTGGAAAATGAAAGCCCAGCACCAATTCAACAATATCTCTCTTTAATGTAAGTTATTCAGAAATCACAGACCCTGTAGGAACCTATTTATTCCTATTTCCTTTGACAAATTACGTGCTTTGTGCTCATACACATATATTTCACATTTCTTCCTCTATCTCTTCTTCTACCTTGGTCTTCATTGCCACTTATTACCTTTATCTGTAGCAGAGATAATAGATTGTAATCAAGAAAGTGGTTTAACTGGCTCTCCTTAGTCACTATGGCTACTTTTATTTATTTATTTATTTTATGATTTTATTTATTTATTTTCCCCCCAAAACCCAAGTAGATAGTTGTACATCATAGCTGCACATCCTTCTAGTTGCTGTATGTGGGACACGGCCTCAGCATGGCCGGAGAAGCGGTGCGTCAGTGTGCGCCCAGGATCCGAACCCGCTGCCAGTGGTGGAGCGCGCTCACTTAACCGCTAAGCCACGGGGCTGGCCCCATATGGCTACTTTTAAATCAATTTTCTAAATGGCAATGAAAACGATCTCTTAAAAACATAGGTCTAGGGGCCGGCCTGGTGGCACAAGCGGTTAAGTGCACGCACTCCGCTGTGGAGGCCCCGGGTTCGCCGGTTCGGATCCCGGATGCGCACTGATGCACTGCTTGGCAAGCCATGCTTTGGCGGCATCCCATATAAAGTGGAGGAAGATGGGCATGGATGTTAGCCCAGGGCCAGTCTTCTTTGGCAAAAAAAAAGAGGAGGATTGGCAGATGTTAGCACAGGGCTGATCTCCTCACAAAATAAAATAAAATAAAATAAAATAAAATAGAATAAAAACATAGGTCTAAAAAATATAGGTCTTTTTTTCTCCTTTGGTAAAAAACAAAACAAAACACAAAAACTAAAATAATCAATTTTACCATTGCACTTAATATGTATTAAATATTTGAGTTATATCTTCAAACGTCTGTGTCATTTGACACTTTCTGACTTTCCACCCTAGTTTTAGAAGATACTCCTCATCACTGACTTCAGCCACATAGACTTCCTTTGATTCTGAACTAAAGCAAACACAGGACTGTCTCAGAGCTTTCCCAGGTGCTGTTTATAATGCACCTCATGTCATCTTCTCCACCCAACCTTGTCCTTCTCCATAGACTCTTCGCTGGGCTTCCCTTCCTTTATCCTCCTGGTCACAGCTTCAAGTTTATTTCTACAGAGAGGAGATAGTGGGCACTTTAACAGCCTGGAAACCCACACTGCTCTTTGGAGAAATCTTGCATGGAGATTACATTCCCATTAGAGTACTATCTACCCCCTCAGATCATCTTTCTTCCAATCCTGCCCTCCCCCTAAATCCAGGAGAGTAGATCCACACATCTTACGCTTGATTTATTAGTCTTCTCTCCCAGAACTCTGAATCCTGAGCTAGTGATACAAGGATAGGGGGCTAGTTCTTAAGGGATTGTGGTGATACGCAAGCCAAAATGTTCATGGGATTTAGCCTTTGATATATTTTCTATTTCCTAGTCCTCTTGAGCATTTTTTTATTCCTGTCTATATTCTGAATCTCTTCCAGCTACTTTTAGATATTAACCTCTATGTTTTTCTAATACATTCCTTTTCTGCTTAAATTTTACAGAATTTAGTTTTGGTTGCTTAGTTTGGTTGCAAGATCACTGACTGATTGACATAGATGCCTTCACTTTTAAACCAGCCTCAATCTAAATTCACTCTTTCCCCCATAAGATGCTCCCCTTGAATTGTTTGGAATTGTATGTTTGTGTGACCATTCGTATTTTACTACCTTAGTATTCTATACTTCCCTGATGGCAGACATGTTGCTCCACACTCTATGTGTATAGTGCCTGGTCTGTAGTATCTGTCACAGTGTCTGATTCACTATAGACAGTTAAATCATTGCTTCTTTCCTAATATCACTAAAATAATCATTCTGAGTTTGCAAGCAGAAGTCTCTTTACTACACTGAGGAATGTGATGCAAGGTTAATTCCATTAGTTTCCATATTACATATTCAAAGAATACATCACCAGAATGCTGGATTCACGAGTTCTCGACACCACACATACTATGCTCGAATTATCACATATTGCTTTGGAGACAAAGCTGCCAACAGAAAAAACAAGATCATCAGTAGACAAAAGGGAAAGTAGTTATATCCATTGTTGATAATACTAAATTTGAACCTGACAAATATATACGTATTCTTCCAAAATCAATTGGTCCTTTGATCACAGAAGTTACTCTTAGATTTGATTTTGAATAATTGTGCAGATCTGGCAAAGTTATACTGATTTTCATTTGCAGAAGTAGCAATCCCAACCTGCTCTGAGATATCACTGCCAGAATTATCAATATCTCTGATTTGCTAGATTATCTTATTTAATAATGATGTGAGAGAAGATTTTAATTTTAAAATAGAATTCTGTTTCCTTTGACTACACCTACTCTACTCCAAGTGAATGCCATAAAAGAAGCCATGCCTTCCTCTCCACAGGGTGACATGGAGATGGTGGGGCATGGCCCTGTCAAGAATTCTCATCCTGTAATAATGAGGTGGTACCCCTAACCTCTCTCCTCCAGAAGCCCAGAAATGGTGAGGGTAGAGTCCTGTTGACCACCTCTGCCTTACAGTAACCCAAGCAAAGGTGCCACCTTTCCCCCTCCCCTGCAGAGACAGTGAGGTGGAGCCCTGTTGACCATTTCCTCCCCTGCACTAAGGTGAGTAAATGTGGTACTCCTTCCTCTTCCCTCTAAGCACTGCAGAGACAAGTAATAGCTGAAAACCTCAAATTTGGTAAACCTACAGATTCAAAAACATGATCAAACCCAAACAGGTTAAATTCAAAGAAATCTACATCACACACATCAAATGTCTGAAAACTAAAGACTAAGAAAATAACTTGAAATCAGCCAGAGAAAAATGACACATTCTCTATAGAGGAATAATAATTTGAATGACAGTGGATTTCTCATTGGATACCATAGAAGCCAGAAGGAAGTGGCACAATGTCTTTCAAATGCTTGAAGAGGAAAAGTTAATATACCCACTCAAAGACAGATCTTGGCACAATGGATAAAAATCATGATCCAACTAGATGCTGGCTACAAGAAGCTCACTTTAATTATGATATAAGTAGATTGGAAGTAAAAGAATAGAAAATGAGGGCCGGCCCCGTGGCTTAGCGGTTAAGTGCATGCGCTCTGCTGCTGGCGGCCCGGGCTTGGATCCCGGGTGCGCACCGACGCACCACTTCTCCGGCCATGCTGAGGCCGCGTCCCACGTACAGCAACTAGAAGGATGTGCAGCTATGACATACAACTATCTACTGGGGTTTTGGGGGGAAAAATAAATAAATAAATAAAATTATAAAAAAAAAAGAATAGAAAATGATGTAACATACAAACATTAATCAAAAGAAAGCAGGAGTGGCTAAATTAATAACAGGTAAAGTAGACTTCAGAGCAAAGAAAATTGCCAGGGAAAGTAGGGACATTACCCAAAAATAAAAGGGCCAGACATAGTAATACTAAATGTGTATGCACCAAATAACAGAGCTGCAAAATACATGAAGTGAAAACTGATAGAATTGAAAGGAAAAATAGACAAATCCACATTTATAGTCAGGAAATTCAATAATCTTCTCTGGTAATTGATAGAACCACTAGATCAAAAATCAGAAACGATACGGAGAAACTGAAGAAGATAATCAACTAAAGTGATCCAATTGCCGTTATAGAATATTCCACCCAACAAGAGCAGATTACACATTCTTTTCAAGCATACAGGGAACATTCACCAAGATAGACCATATTCTGGCTCATAAAACAAACTTTAACAAATGGAAAAGAATGGAGAACATATGGAGTATATGTTCCATAATTGATTTAAACTAGAAATAAATAAAAAGATAGCAAGACAATATCCAAATTAAACAATTAAAGACAAATTAAACACACTTTTAAATAATCCATGGGTCAAAGGGGAAAAGGTAAATTAAAAAATACATGGAACTGAATGAAAATGAAAATACAATCAATCAAAATCTGTGAGTTGCAGCTAAACCAGTGCTTAGTGGGGAATTTAGAGGACCAAATGCTTATATTTAAAAAGAAGAGAGGTCTCAAAGAAATAATCTAAGCTTCCACCACAAGAACTAGAAAAAGAACAAAATAAACCAAAGCAAGCAGAAGGAAAGAAATAAAAGATAAGAGCAAACATAAATGAAACTAAGAACAGCAAAATAGAGACAAAAAATCAAACCAAAAACCATTTCTTTGAAAAGATAATTAAAATCGATTAATCTCTATTAAGGTTGACAAAGAAAAAAAAAAGAAGACATAAATTATCAATATCAAGAAAGAAGGAGCTCATATCACCACAGATTCTGCAGACATTACAAGGACTGAAACAAACAAATCTACATACATAAATTTGACAAGTTAGATGAAATGACTAATTATTGGAAAACCACAAACTACCAAAACCACTCAGCATAAAAGAGAAAATTTGAATGGTGCTATAACTATTAAAGAATTTGTAGTTATAATCTTTCAAAAAATTAATCTCCAGGCCCAGATGGTTCCACAGGAGAATTCTATTAAACAATTAAATAAGAAATAACATGAATTTTACACAATCTTTTCCAGAAAATAGAAGATGAAGAAATATTTCCCCCTTATTTTACAGGGCCAGCGTTATCCTAATACCAAACGGAGACAAAGATAGTACAAAAGACTGCAGATCAATATCCCTCATGAACACAGAAGCAAAAATCATTAACAAAATACTGACAAATTGAATTCAGAAATTTATAAAAATAAAAATACAACATGACCCAGTGGGGTTTATTCCAGGAATGCAAGACTGGTTCAATATTCAGAAATCGATCAATGCAATTTGCCTTACTAACAATCTAAAGAAGAAAAATCATATGCTCGTATTAATTGTTGCAGGAAAAGCATTTGGCAAAATCAAACATCTATTCACGATAAAAACCCTCAGCAAACTAGGACTAGAAGGGAACTTCCTCAACCTAATAAAGGGTATCTACAAAAACACACGGTGAATATCATAATGGTGAAAGACTCAACACTTTCTGCTCTCCAGTGTTGCTCTCCACTCCAGTGTTGTACTTAAGGTTATATCCAATACAATAAGGCAAGAACAAGGAGTAAAGGCATACAGACTGGAAATAAAGGAATAAAACTGTCTCCATTGACAGATGTCATGATTTTGTACCTAGAAAAATCACAAAATATCTACAAATCTATTAATAAGTAAGTTCAGCAAGGCTGCAGGATACAAGGTCAATGTACAAAAGTCATTCATATTTCTATATACTATTAATGAAAAATTAAATAAAACTTTACTGTCTATAATAGCACCAAAACCACTAAATACTTAGGTATAATCTTACAAAATATGTGCAAAATATGGATCCTAAAAACTACAAAAACATTTTTGAAAGAAATCAAAGAAGACCTAACTAAATTGAGAGACATATAAGTTTATGGATTGGAAGGCTATACAGAGCAAAGGTGTCAATTTCCCCCAAATTTGTCTACAGATCTAATAGAATTCCAGTATAAATCCCAGCAGAATTTTTGCAGAAATTTACAAGCTGATTCTAAAATTTAAGTGGGAAACAAGGGAACCAGAATAGCCAAAATAATTCTGCAAAAGAACAAATTGGAAGACTCACGTCATCTGATTTCAAAGTTTCTACAAAGTTACACTTTCAAGGTGGTGTGTTATTAGAGAAAGAACAGACATATAGATCATTGGAATAAAAGAGAAAGTCTTGAAATTAACCCATACATATATGGTCAATTTTTGACAAAGTTGTAAAGGCAATTCAGTGGAGAAAGAATAGTTTTTTTCAACAAATGATGCTGAATAATTGAATACTCATGTGCAAAAAAAAGAAGAAATAAATCTTGATCTATAGCTTGCCCTATATAAAATTTAATTCAAAATGTATCATAGACCTAATGGTAAAACCTAAAACTATAAAATTTTTAGAGGAAAACATATGGGAAAAATCTTTGTGATCTTGCATTAGGCAAAGATTTCTTAGACAGAACATCCAGAGCTGAATCATTTTAGAAGAAAAATTTGACTTCATCAAAATTAAGAACACCTGCTCTTTGAAAGATACTGTTGAGAGAGCAGAAAGACAAACCACAAAGTAAGAGAAAATATTTGCAAATCTTTATCTGATAAGACTTACATTCCAAATATATAAGGAACTATCAAAAGTCAATATTAAAAAAATAAACAACCCAACTGAAAAATGGGCAAAAGTTTTGAACAAATGCTTCACCAAAGAAGATATCTGGATGGCAAATAAGCAAATGAAAAGTTGCTCAACATTGTTGGGGAAATACACAATAAAACTACAATGAGATATCACTACACACCTATGAGAATGTAAAAAAATACAACAAAACAAAAACCAAACAATACCAAGTGGCGTAATTGGAACTCTCATACATTGCTGATGGGAATGCAAAAATGTATATCTCCCTAGGAAAGAGTTTTGCAGTTTCTTATAAAGTCAAACATACCATATGACCCAACAGTTCACTCTTAGGCAAATACACAAAAACCTGTTCACAAATGTTTATAGTTAATCATCCCAAACTAGAAAAAACATAAATAGCCCTCAACCGGTGAAGTGATGAACTGTGGTACATCTATATAGTGGGACACTATTCAGCAATAAAAAGGAGTGAATTACTGATATACTCAACATGAGTGAATCTCAAGAACATTATGCTCATTGACAGAAACCAGACACATAGGAATATATACTATATAATTCCATTTACATAAAGTTTTAGGAAATATAAACTAATTTATAGGGACAGAAAGCAGATCAGTGGTTGCCTGGAGCTGGGGATGGCAGGAGGGACAGACTGCAATGGAGCATGAGAAGACTTTGGGACTGATGGAAATAGTCTGTGGTTTGATTGTGCTTCTGATTACAGGACTTTATATTTCTGTCAAAACTCAAACTGTGTGTTGGACAACTGGATTCTATTCGGGAAAGACATACAATTTTCGTGCCTTGTAAAAAAAATTCAGATGGATAAAAGACATAAAGCTATGCAGTATGGGACACCTGATACAAAGAGCAAGTATTTAAAATTATTGAAAGGAAGTAAGTATTTATGATTTATAGTAGGCTAAGACTTATTAGATATGATACAGGGAGCAAAGAATATGAAAGAAAATCTGGTAAGCATAATTGTATATTAATTATATTTATTTAATTAAAATATTTTTGCCTTAAAAACGTTGGAAATAACTTCTTATCTGAACATAGAGATTTCTCCCATTCTTTTTTTCTTTAAATTATAGTTGCATAATACTCCATTATGCAGATATACCATAGTAATTTAAACTATGTCTTATGTTTGGGCGGTTAGGTAGTTTCCAGCATTTGGCAATCACAACTAATGCTGCAATAAACAAACGATGCATTTTTAATCATTGCAAGTGTACCATCAGAGTAAATCCCTTTCAGTGGCATTTGCAGTTTGAAGGCTATATGTATATATATTTTGTTAGATATTACCAAAAATAAACATTATAAGGACAAGTAACAATCTGGAAGAAAATATTTGCAAAGTATGTAAAAGATAAGACCACTATGTACAGGATTAATTTTTTTATGTAGAAATTTAAAATATTTAGGGAAAGTTTAAGTCACAAAGCAGGGTTTACCGGCTTGGTATCTGATTACTTCCTATGTGTGCCAGGTGACAGCAGCTCTTGAGGTATGGATAACGGCCTTCCTCTTCCCACATGTACCTGTAAAAGAGAGTCATCCATGGATGTGGTGAGGACATAGAGAGAATCCTTCAAAGGATACCCAGGGGTGAGTGGCTCAGAGTCAAAGTCAGAGCAATGAGCAGTGAGAGGAGAAGAATCATACATACTACCCATAAGTTGCTGATGGTCCTCTGGTGGTCCTCAAATTGTTGCAGCAGGAGGCCACTGATAGTGAAAAGGAATAGATATGGCCCACTCTCAAAGACAAACATATTTCCATCACTGACTCCCATGCAAATAGGACTCTCCATATCAACTGGCAACAGGAAACTTGTGATCTGATGGGCTGTTTTCATGCAAAACACATATGTACACATGTACAGGCAAACTTTGGATTATTTAGTCAGAACAATATCATTACACTGAATGAAAAAACGTACTCTCTACTTCCATGGGACTTCTGTCCAGTGAGGAAAATGAAGGGTAGGCCAGTGGCCTGACAAATGCATGTCATTGACCATGGTAATGGGTGCTATGACATAGTAACAGAGGACTGTGGGCAATAAACAATAGCTCAGACATTGAAGGAAGGGGCGTTGGAATCCAGGACCTAAAGCATGATGGGAGTCTAAATATGTCTGCCCAAGAGAGCAGGGTGGAGTGTAGAGGTCAGAAGCACGGCATTAGAGTCAAACAGGCATGGGTTAGCCTCCAGCTAAAGAAATCCCCTGCCCTCTTTACACAGATAGACCTATTTACACATACTGATAGCTTAAAATGAATGCATGTGTGACAGGGAGGAGAGACAAGTGTTTCTAATGTGGCATAGCCTACCTTGGATGACTGTTCTCCCCTCAGTCCTCTCAGTTGCTAGATCATAGGTGGTAAATCCTGTCTTTTGGGAAGAGCCTCTTCGGAACATCAGTGTTATCCTGTTTATCCTCCTTGGGGCCCAGTAGGCTCTGCAGCACGATGACAATGGGAGGGAGACAGAGGGGTTTTGTCTTCTGACAGTCTCAGTAAGCAAGCTGTGAAAAATACCTATGGAGAGATCATCGCACATGTAGTCAGGTGGAGGGGGAAGTTATAGCATCTCAGTACAAAAGCAACTCCAGAAAAGCCTCCTTAAAAATCCTCATCTTGTGGTCAAAGCTTTATTCTGAATCTCAGGAAGTGTTGAGTAGTCACTGCTTGTCATTTGACACATCAGGAACTCACTGTCTTCCTATCCTGCCTGTCATGGTCACAAATAGAGCAGAGTCCCTGAAGCTTCTCTTCTGGCATGCCATGGGGTTACCAAATCATCTGGCCACATTAGACCTCTGATCAAGTTGCAGTTGACTGAACAGACTTTCCCTTCCTGGAGAACTAGTCTAGGGCTGATTTGCCTTTGCTGCCTTCTCTCTGGGCTCCTTGCTCTCTGGTCCTCTCTGGTCCTGGCTCTTGCTCACCAGTCCACAGGTGCTATACTAAAACGGTCTGCTCAAAGGCCAAAGACTTTCTCAGAGGGACATTCAGAGCCTGATGCATTTTTATTTACTTCTCGACTTCTTTGTACTTTCCAGCAAAGGTAGATTCAAGTAAGGAAAGCAAAAGTGAACAAGGTTACCAAAGACCCTTATTTCTTGATATCTCTCTCACCTGCCTCTATCTCTTTGGCTGATTCAGGCTTCATGAGCAAATTTTTGTTAATAAACATTTATTTTTGTAACTGGATATCATTGCTTCAAAGAACATTGTTTCTTGGCTGTAGGAATAGATTCCACGTGTGATACGGCCTTTGAGAGGAGGGAGCAGTGTATCTGGTCCTCACTGAGCTCTGCAGTTTCTCTAACACTTCCTACCTTCACCTTCCTAATGCTTGACCCTCTCTTCCCAATGTTGAAGCACACAGAGCAGCACCTACCTTTGGCAAGTGATGTTGATGTGTAGATGCAAAGATCCATTTTCTGTCAGGAGAGCAGTGTAGAAGATCAACATTATATTTGAATACATTAACTTTAGAAACATTCCTTAAGCCAGGGACTGTCAATGTGTAGATGTCACCTTCAGAATGCCAACCTGAAACCAAAGCATCACCACCGTGTCAACGGAAAGAGACATGAAATCCTAAAGCACACAAGAGACAGCACAGTCAACTGTAAGATATGCCACCATTTCTTCAATCACGTAATGGAGATTAAAACCTCTGACCAGCCTGCCTCACAAAGTTGTTGGGATGATCCCAGGAAATAAAACTTGGTAAGCCCCAAAGCACTCTTCTCAAGGATAGTTACTCATTAGCATATCAACACTATTCTTTTTTCTCGATGTCTCCCCAAACCCACATCTCTCCCTCCACAGTCCCTGTCCAAGTTCGTGTACTGTGCAATAATACACACTTGAAAGAAGAGACATAAATACGAAATAATTCAGGAAGTGTTTTTTTTTTTTCTTTTTTTAGAAGAATGACTGGGAAAATGTACTTGAGGTAGATCAAATGTCAAGATGGTATGGAGGTTTTTATGGCCAACATTCACTGGTATATTGCGACTCTCAGGGTATGTGATAGGGATGACTCCAAGAAGATAGGTTGTGATGTGACAGTAATGGGGCCACAACACCTGCCAAACCAGCAGGCATTTTGTTTTGTGGTCCCCCTCCAGATGTAAGGCTCACTTACCATCAGGAATGGGCCATCCTTTGTGAGACAGGCTTCCAAGGAGAAACAGGCCCGAGGCGTGATGCGAGTAGCCAGAGCATCCTCATCCTGACAATTCCACACTTTGAGAGTTCTCTCCAAATCCACAGTGAATGCAAGATGCGTATGAGGGAGGGTTGCCAGATGCATGATTCTAGACTGCTGGACTGGGCTTGACCAGATCATAGTGCCCTAGAGAACGAGAGTAACACTATATGTGTTCAAGGAACTCTTCATACCTACTGTGCTTTCATTCTGCCAGTGTTTATTTGGAAGCCTCCTCCAAATCAGATTCATTCCTTGCTTCTGGGAAAAGAATAAGAAAATTCTCCTAAACATCTCAATTAGAGGGGTAGTGAATGTGGAGAAAGACCTATATATTCAAAGGCAGGAGTTTACGACATGATGGGCATAAATAATGATCAGACTCCCTGGGCTCAAATCAGTTCTGTCTCTTAGTAATAGTGTGACATCTGGCAAGTTACTTACACCGTGGCTTTTTATGGGGCGGTTGTATTACATTTCACAATACATGAAACATACTTAGAATTCTGCCTAGTACATAGGAGGAGTCCAAAGGATATCAACTATCATGATAATTGTTATTCCATCAACCTTGCATATTGCAAACAAGATAGAATAAAGAAATAATTTCTCTTCTAGACTTTCCTTCAGCCTTTTTAAAATTGTGAAGTATAGTATAGTGAAGTATAGTATATTTCTCTATACATGGAGAAAAGAACACCAACATAAATGTAAAGTGTAATAAATTATTACAAAGTGATCAATATGACTACTTCTAAGCCCTCTCAAAGTCTTATACTTGCTCTATTCACTAACTCCTCCACCCTCCCCAAATGTAATCACTAATTTGATTCCTAACACTATAACAGGTTGCCTGTGTAGTGTTATCTATTGTTGCATAATAAATTATTCCAAAATTGGGTGGTTTAAAACAAGTTTTTGTTATCTCAGTTTCTGTTAGAAATTCAAGTGCAGCTTTGCTAGGTAGTTCTGTCTCAGCATCTTGTATGAGGTTGAAACCAAGTTCTTCTTTCAAGATGGCTCACTCATATGGCTGGGGAGTTGGTGCTGGCTACTCACAGGAGTCCTCAGTACTTCACCACACAGACCTCTCTGTAGGGCTACTCATAACATTGTGGCTGGCTTTCTAAGAGCCAATGACTCAAGAGAGAGGAAATATCTTTTACGACATAGCTTCAGCCACACACAATCATTTCCAGAATATCCTACTGGTTATAAAGGTCAGCCCCGTTCAACGTGGGAGTGGACTATATAAGATCATGAATACTATGGGACAAGGAATACTGAGGGCCATCTTAGATGCTGGATGACATTGTCCACCCCATAGCCCCTAAGGATTCACCTCCCTTCCACATGCACAATATACTCACCATCTCCCAATGCCCCCAAATAGCTCATACCATTACAGTATCATCTCAAAATCTGGGATCTCATTGTTTAATGAGGTCTAAGTATAGATGAAGCTTTTTAGATCCAGTTCATCTTGATGTGAAAACCTTAAAAATAAATATACAAGTGGTCTGTCCCCTACATCCTCAAAATACAAGGGTAGGGCAGGCATAGGATAACATTATAGACACTCTCATTCAAAAAAGGGGAAAATGGAAAAATGCAAGGGGAGGGGTGGGAAGCACCAAGGAATCACTGCTATACAGAAAATTTGAAATCCAATAGAGAACATGCTGGTAGTATGTTGATTAGGACTCAAGGCCTGGGAAAGATTCTTCATGACTCTCAGCTCCACTCTCTAGGATTTTAGTTCTGTCTTCTGAGTCATCTTTCCCTTTCTATATATGGTGGCCCAATTTTGCAGCTGAGCAGTTTTTGCAACCTGCTTCTTGCCTGTGAAAGTTTGGGATTCAAAGTCCTCTTTTTTTTTTTTTGTGATGTCTCAATCCCTTTAAATCCAAGCTGGAAGCATTTCTGCCAATATAGTTCCCTTAAAAACTTTGTGGGTCTCCAAAGAACCTTACTGGAGTTTATGTCATTAGACAAGAGCCACACCCACAAATCTTTGAGATAAATCTTTTGATACCTTGGGCTTCTGCTGGGGCTGCAGAGGACAATGCCTTAAACTTTTTAAAAGTCCTATTACTTGACTGAACAGTTCTCTGAGGCACCTCCTTAGATCTTTCTGTGGTCTAACAAAGAATTTTGCAGCCACCTCTTTGGCTTCAACTTTATAGTATGGTTTACTGACATTGCCTTGGATTGATCTTGCTTGGACTGCATTTCTTAAATTTTAGCACCATTAGCTAGCTAGAGAGGCTGGAAATTTTCAAAACCGGCCATCCTTGATTCTCATTTGTTTGACAGTCCTTACTTTATCCTCTCCTTCTTCTCTTTCATTTTATTATAAATAGCAAGAAGAAGTCAGCATTCAGCATTCTGCCTGGAAATCTCCTTAGCAAGATCACTCAATTTATTAGATTTATTTTCTAGTTTTCACATTACCATGGGTGACAGTGTTGCTAAACTGTCTGCAACTGCATAACAAGGATCTCCCTTCCTCCAGCATCCCATAACATTTTTCACATTTTCCTTTAAGTCTTCACTGGCAGCCTCATGGCAGGCCATTAGGTTTTTGCTAACAGTCTCTTCAAGGTCCAACACTCTCCTCAGAGTCTTTCCCGCTTCTGCCCACTGCCTGCCTCCAAAGCTTCTCCTACATTTTAGGTTTCTGTTATGGCAGCACCCCACTTCCAGGTACTAAAAATTATACTTGTTATCTATGGTTGCATAACAAATTACATAGCAACTTAAAGCAATAAACGCTTATTTCACACAACCTCTGTTGGTCAAAAATTCAAGAGTAGCTTAACTGAGTGGCTCTGGTTTAGGGTCTTTCATTAGATTGCAGCAGGATGTTGGCTGGGAATGCAATAATCTGAAGTCTTGTCTGGGGTTGGAGGATCCACTTCCGAGATGGCTCACTCACATGACTGCAAGTTGGTGTTGGCTGTTGGCAGGAGGCCTGAGTTCTTTGCCATGTGGACCTGTCCATTGGGCTGCTTGAATGTCCTCAGGAACATGATGACTGGTTTCCCCCAGAGCAAGTTATCCAAGACAGTAGCTTCTCATTTCTTTTTTTCTCCCAGGTTGATTAAGATGTAATTGACAGGGCCGGCCCCGTGGCTTAGCGGTTAAGTGCGCGGGCTCCGCTACTGGCAGCCCGGGTTTGGATCCCGGGCGCGCACCGATGCACCGCTTCTCCGGCCATGCTGAGGCCATGTCCCACATACAGCAAGTAGAAGGATGTGCAACTATGACATACAACTATCTACTGGGGCTTTGGGGACAAAAAAAAGGAGGAGGATTGGCAATAGATGTTAGCTCAGAGCCGGTCTTCCTCAGCAAAATGAGGAGGATTAGCATGGATGTTAGCTCAGGGCTGATCTTCCTCACACACACACGAAATAAATAAATAAATAAAAAGATGTAATTGACATATAACATTGCATAAGTTTAAGAGCACCCTTCTAGACTTTTATCTCATCATTTCCCTGCCACCTCATATATTCATAAAGGGGTATTTATCATACTTCAGAAGACCCTGTGTTAGAAAGAGTCATTATCTAATTTTTATGGGGAGGAGAGAGAAATCCAAACAGGGAAAGCCAAGAAAATATAATAATTTGGGACCCACTTTGGGATCTTCCAACTCTCTGTCCAGTGCTTCTTGAACTACATTTGCTGGTCCTGATATATAAGATCTTTGTGCCCCTTGGAAGTAATCTGAGTTAGAAACCACTTTCTGAAAAAATCAATATAATGAATGCCAATAGTTGACAGAGAGGCAGCAGAATAGGTAATGAAGATGCACAGTGCCAAAAGATTGCTTATTTTGCAAAATAACTCCACATTACCAATAGAAAATAAGTCCTTGCATAAGTTTATATAGAGAAACATATATTAAAAACTGAATTCTTGGGGCCGGCCCAGTGGCGCAAGAGGTTAAGTGCGCGTGCTCCGCTGCGGCGGCCCACGGTGCGCCGGTTTGGATCCCGGGTGCACACAGACGCACCGCTTGTTAAGCCATGCTGTGGCGGCATCCCATATAAAGTAGAGGAAGATGGGCACGGATGTTAGTCCAGGGCCAGTCTTCCTCAGCAAAGAAAGAGGAGGATTGGCACCGGGTTAGCTCAGGGCTGATCTTCCTCACCAAAAAAAAAGAAAAGAAATAAATAAATAAAGTGAATTCTCTGTGTGACTATAGTCTAAATGAAAAAGGTCACAGATGACCAATTAGAAGACCTGATTTGAAACTTTGTTCCCAATTCCCAGTATCATTTTCCTGCCTCCCAGCACTTGTTTCATATGTGTAATAGGATGCACACGAGTATGCATTACTTGTGCTCCACATTAGCCAGACTAGGTGATGCAACAAGTCATGGAGATCAGGAACTCAGCAGGAGGCATGGGTCAGTGGGGTGGGTAGGAGGACACTGATTTTGCGTGTATTGAGTTTAGAAGCTGCACAGAGGGCTGTGAAAATGGAAAATTTTTATGTTCATTAAACAATCACATGTTTGGTGTCTTTGGGTAGGCTCAGGAGAAGGTGTGTGGCCCATAGACCTTGAAGGTCCTCACATGTCAGAGCCACTGTCTTGGGTGAGGTGATGGACCCATGAAAGAAGGTGGCTCATGTGGCATCTGCCATGCACACTTGGGCACCCAGTGTAGACACAGGCAGTGAGGGAGACAACTGGGGCAGAGCAGTGGTGGTCTAAAAGGAAAACCGTGGGCCCCATGGTGGGGCTGGGACTTCCCTGATTGGTTGAGCCTGGAACTGCTCAAAGAAAGTGCCCCTATAGTTCATGGTTTGTAGAGATGTAACATTTTATGGACACTCCCCACCTGTCTGCCATTGTTCTAAGCATTAAATCTTCATAGTGACCAGTGAAGACATTTCTAGTCTATTTCCTTCCTAGAAGAAGGAAACACTGAGGCTCAGAGAGCTGAGGCATGTTGAATATTCAACCTCCTGATCCTGATGGTACAAGTTGACCAGGCTCTGTGGCCTCTCTGGGGTATAATTCCTTTCCTCCCTTAGCATAGCCAACATGTCTCTGCCCAAGAAATATTGTGATGTAACCTAGTTAATTAACCCCACAGTTGTGTAACCACCACCATAATCAAGATACAGAACAGTCCCATTACTCCCTCCCCCCAAAATTCCCCCACGCTGCTTGGTGCTGACTTTCAATAAATAGAAGTTCTTACCTTAATGAAGTCCAACTCATCAATTTTTTCTTTAATGGACTGTACTTTTCCTTTTTCCGGTACATTTGCCTACCACAAAGTCACGATTTGCTTGAGTGTTTTTTGTTTTAATCTTTCATATTTAAATCTGTAATTCATTGTGAATTTTTCTGTATGGATTTCCAAGACAGCACCACATTTTGAAAAGGTCATTCTTTTTCTATTACATTTGACTGAAACCTTTGTCAAAAATCAGGTCATTGTAATATATGTTGGTCTGTTTCTGGTTAGACTATTATGTTCCATTGATCTATTTAAGGAATAAATGTATTCACTTCTTCATGGAGTCGGGGAAAGATTATCTTAATCAGATAAAGGGACATCTCTGAGATGACAGGAGGCAGATTTGCAGTATTGTAAGGTTCCATTTACTTCTGGATCACCCAGATGTGACTTCTGGCGTACACCTTGAGACGTCTCAACCAAAAGTGTAGTGTGTTTACTAAGCGTCCTCTACTTTGTTGGGTCTTGAAATTTGATGTTTTCCTCTTTAGCCCTGAGAGACTATGGGATATTTTAGAGGCTTTCTGCCCAATTTCTTATTCCCTGACTCAATGCAGTCCCAAAATTTGTCAAATACCTCAAGGAGAAGGAGAAACCAAATCATATGTTGGGGTCTCGTCCTTCTGCCTCCATTCCCTGGAATATTGGCCACCCAATCCTGTCTTCCTTGCCATCCACAAAGTTCAGTTTTGCCACTACATTTTGCTCACTTCTCTGTCTCTTAGCAGCAACTCTGCCCAGACCTCCTCGTGCCTGGGTTTTCAGGCTCCCTCATGCTGTTAACCCAATGCCAATAGGAAAAACCAGATAAAGAATTTTGGCTCCCCATTCAGGTTCTCTCCCTTTTGGCATCCGCGCACTCAAATCCTAGTTGCCTAGGCAGCTCTCTGATGATGTCATATAGATTTTTTTTTTTAATCTTATTTCCCTCTTAATCTGTTTTTCGTGGAAGCGTGAGTCTTCCACAAACCACTCTGTTGTAACCAGAACAGGAAGTCTGGGTTCCTGGTTTACATGATGTCTATATACTGATGACTCCCATATTTATATATCCTTCTCTGACACTTAATGTGAGTTTAAAACTACGTAACTTGTTGTCTTCTTAACATCTGTACTTTGATATATAAAAGGCATCTCAGACTTCACATGTTTAAGACAGAATTCTTTCTGATCTCACAAATGTACATTTTTCCTGTGTTCTCATGCATAATAAACGTCACTTATGTTCATTCTCTTGCTCAGACCAAAAATCTCAAAGTTTTTCTAGATTTCTCTTTGCTTGTGACTCTCATCTTCTCTTGTAGTCCCCCATCACTTCCTTCATATCTCAGCTCAAATACTATCTCCACATGAAGTTTTTCCTAAAATAATACTTCCCATCAAGCTTGGCCCTTTATGCCATTTTATTTGTCTTCATTACCCTTAACAGCTTCTGTGATTAAATTATAAATAAATTATTAAGTAGATTTATTTATTTGTCTGCTTATTGTCTGTCTCCCTCTATGGAATGTAATTTCTTTGATGAAAGGAATCTGTCTCTCTGACTCACTTCTGAATCAACATAGTCCAGGCTTGTTTCTGGAAACATAAGATTTAATTATAATCTGATGAATGAAGGAATGGATGAATACATTCTAAGCTGATGAGAATTACAAGTACTTTGAGCGTCGTGGTTACTAACAACCATGGCTAACACAGAAGAGCCGCTGCTTGATGTAAGGGCAGATACAAATGAAAATGAAGCTTAATTTTCCCTGTTGAAAATAAGGAAGAGATTTCCTTCCCTTCCCTTTTCTTAGAACATTTTACTTTAGAAACTTTGTAATTGTAAGTTCTTTCTCTGTCTCTTTGAAACGTATATAAATCTTTTTAGAAGCTAAATAAGCCTCTTGCCAGCTTTATGACCCAGGAATGCCTTTCTCAAGGACCTGGGAGCCATCTCTTTGAAATGTTAACATCAAAGGAGATAGCGCCCCTGTCTCCCAGTTTCTGTGGGAGAGTAGGAGCCTAACTTTGGTAGGTACCCTGCTCCCAGTCGAAAACTATCTCCTGTCATAAAGACAGGAGAACTTTATTTTTCCTTTGTATAAAACCAATGAACTGGGGCCAGCCCCATGGTGTAGTGGTTGAGTTCGGTGGGTTCCTCTTAGGTGGCACAGATTCAGGGGTTCAGATCCTGGGCACGTACGTACCTACATCACTCATCAGCCGTGCTGGGGCAGTGACCCACATACAAAATAGAGGAAGATTGGCACAGATATTAGTTCAGGGCTAATCTTCCTCAAGCAAACAAAAAAAAAAAAGCCAAAATAAACACATGTGCGCACACACACAAAACCTATGAACTAACACAGATGGTCACCTCAATTACCAGGAGAATTTAGGATGGACTTAGTGTAATAAATGTGCTGTCAAGTCCTCTTGCTTGAGGACTAGTTATTGTTTATCTGGAGAACATGTATGTACATAAGGGGTTGTATCTGCTTGGCCATATAAAAGGGTGAGATTTCTTTCTGTCTTTGCAATCTCTTGGTGGGTTGCCTGTGATACACATCACGTTCTGGCTTATTGCTTATTCAATAAAGAAATTTTCTTTTCCTTCTACCTTTGTGGAGAGGTTTTCTGGGTTGGGAGATTTTGTTTTAAATTGTATGTTCCTGACACTGACAAAGGTAGGAAAAAATGACTTCTCTTGAGGGTGCATGAATCTTAGATGTATTCTAAACACACTCATTTGTCCCAGAAGCAATATGCCAAAGGGCAAGAT